GTTAAAATTTTTTTAATAACTATATTTGAAAGTAGTGGAAAAAGAAGTATAAGCAGGAATCGCTTTGATTTCTATCAGGTGATAAACTGAAATGTTTGAAAATTCATAACAATTTTTTTTGTTAGTTCATTTGATTGTGAGCACTGTTATTTAGTTTTACGAGACCTCAATATACTTTCTAAGTCTACGTTAATTAAATGTCTATAATATGTATTGCTATTTTTAAGTTAGATTGAACAGTTTTTTTATATAAACTTTATAAAAGCTTGCATGTAAATGGAGCAAAAAGGATCATCTGAGCCTTTATCCTGACAAAGTTGTGAATAATAAAAATAGTAATTAAAAAGTAAATTGGGATAAAGCAATTTTATAATGAATATATTAAACAAACATTTTATTTCATTCCATTCCAACTCTGCTTATTATTTTTTGACGAAATACCAGATCAAGGTTGTTTGCAGTGTGTTCTCTGTAAAAACTGTACCCATGAAATTTATATTTTGCATTGGTTGAATAAAGTAGCTATTATTTCGTAAAATTTTAAAATTAAAATTAAGACATTGGACCTTTTTACTGAACATAGTCAGATACCGCAATAATAAATACTATAATGATCATATTCATACATTTTATTATTATTTCTATTGAATTAACTCTATTGAATATCTATACAAAACTTTAAAAAGTAAGTTCAAAGATGAAACTTTACCAACGAAATAAGTCTTCTCAATAAAATTTTGACAAAAATGTGTAGAAAAAATATATTTTTAAACCGTGTACAAGTGAAAACTTGAAACAAGTTTAATTTTTAAATGTAAAAATTTTAATGTCCAGGAAATTCCTTCTAATAATAACATGTCAAAAGTTACATACTTTATTCTTTAGCATAATATATCTCAAATAGCTGAAAATAAAATATTTGTTATATGTGTATAAATGAAAAAGATCTCATACTATTCAATATTATTTATTTTACTTATTAATAAATATTCAGACAGTCATTTTTCATATAATATATTTATAGGTATGTTCGAATTTAGCACTCCATTCATAATTTTACATTATACTATTATATTTATATATATTTATATAATCATTACTTCTATCTTCCGATTAATACATTCAGTTATATATACAAAGTATTCACTATATCTTATGTGAATTATACACATTTTAGGGAAAGGAATGATAAAACAAGTAAGACAGAAAAAAAATGGTTGAGTAACTATTAAATCACAACTATGTTGCCAATCTCAATAAATTTTATCATGAATTTGAATAACATTTACCACGCTTATAGAATATATTGTCTAAATTTTATGTAGGTAATTATTTTATTTATAAAGATTTCAATATAACTTAAAGTGATTAACATCTGTAATTGTTTAAATGAAATAGCTAATCATAGTCTAGTTCAAAGATTTAAAGCAGAAAGTATTTACATGACGATTCTAAGAAAATTCAATCCATAACATTCCTTAAGGTAGCAATACTATCATATCTATAGCAACAACTAACATTATCCTTAACCTTAGCACTTAATAAGTATGCTAATAGTTAACGGTAAGTTTTGCCGTATAAAGCTTGATAAACTTAGCCATATATGCATCTAAATTCTTGCTTATGTTATTTAACATATATCAATTATTATCACAATTATATATTTTAGATCATGTTTTCAATATAATACATTATAGTACATTGCCAAGAATATGTACTGGAAATATATACATTACGCTAATAAGAATTTTATAATAATGTTTTTTAACATAATTTTTATTACAATTGGTCTGTTAATTATTTCTACTACTATTAAATGCAAAATGTTAACAAATAAGTACGTATATATAAAGAGTGATTAAATTTGCGGAATTTTGTTTTTTTTCATATTTGGGATGTTGCAAAATTAGTATTTACGAAATCAGGTTATTTCCGTCATGGCAGTTATTCAGATGAATAACCTTACAAGAGTAAATCAAATGAACCACAATATCTCAATCAAGATAAAAATTCTGGTTGAATTAGTATATTTAACCCATTGAAAATTACGGAACCGTTTATCTATTGTATGCTCATGACATTATTGAAAATGTAGCTTATGGTACTTCAGAACCAGAACACTTAGTTGTAACACTTAGAACTCTATTAACACAAATGATATTCTTTCACAAAGGAGATTCAGTTCGCGATATTGAAATCGTCCACTCAAACTAGAAACGGAATCTTAGAACGGTACGTACCACGAAACTCGGTCGAGTACTACTGGTGGCGTCAGTACTTTTGCGCGCAGTCCGGCTGGTAATATGTCCCGGTATGCGGCCGGTAATGAGCCGTCGTCACGGGTGGCGGTGTCGTCACTCTCGGCGGGCTGCCCTGCACAGAACCGGGCGTAGGGAGCGGCGGCGCCATTTGACAGCTCGGAGCTTCAAATAAATCCCGAAATCCGGGAGGCATTTCAGGCGATGTTTCCGGCGTATACCATGCCGAAGGTCGCGTCGCATATTGTTGTGTTTGGTGCTGATGTTGTTGCTGTTCTTCTTGATATTGTGAACAATGGTACGGGTACAAGCCTGGTAGATTTGTTAATGAAGGTGTTCTTGCATATGCACCACCCATTAAGCTGTCCACACTAAATGCGGCGCTCGTGTCCATTACTGTAGTGTGATCTGCTAGAGTTAATTCTTGAGTTCCTGACACTACGCCTGCTACAATACTTGGATATTTATTAGATCCGCAGTCTGGTTCACGTTTCAACTTAGGTTTAACATCGACTTTCACATCGTCTAATTGTTGTAGAAGCTGCCTTTTAACAGAAACAGCGTCGTGCGCCATCTGTAACTGTTGTTGACGTTTCAAAGCTTCCTCTTTTTCTTTCACAGCATCTTTTTTCTTGAAGCGTCTTCTTCGGCGCAAATAAGAGCCATTGTCAAACATATTATACGAATCCGGATCAAGCGTCCAATAACTTCCTTTTCCAGGCTTCTTGTCATCCCGAGCTACTTTTACGAAACATTCGTTCAAACTTAAATTATGCCTAATCGAATTTTGCCAGCCTTGTTTATTCTCTCGGTAATAAGGAAATCGTTCCATTATAAATTGATAAATACCGTTTAATGTTATCCGTTTTTCTGAAGCGTGCTGAATTGCCATAGCTATCAAAGCAATATATGAATACGGCGGTTTAACCATTTCTTTAGCTGCATGTAAAGATTGTTGTTGATGATGGTGATGATGATGATGATGTGCACTAAGCGCATAAGGTGACGTTCCTGCATATCCATAACGAGAATACTGTTCATAACCATATGGCGTTGTTGCAGCCGCATGCGGGACACCAGCGCTGGACACTGGATATCCAGCCGTGGCACTGGTTTGCCTGTAGTAGGCGTTCTGTTCACCGAATAGCGCGTGCATTTTTTTCACTTTTTTAAGTCCTAAATAACACAAGGTCTATAATAAACACATAACTTATTCACACAATTAATTATAAAATCACTTCAATGCTAACACGACTTAAATTCTAGCAAGAGTATAATATTATTAGAGTTGCAATAGTAGTTAGCTATCGCGCGCCCGTTATGCACTGAATTAGCGGTGGCTTCTATGCTTTTGCTGCCCAAAATCAACAACGACTGCGCGCACCACACGCCTGACTTGATGGCTGGCGTGAACCAAAATATTCCCTCTCTCCGCAGACTGCGAAAAGCCTAGTTCCGTCCCGTTCGCGCTAATAAGGGACTCTCGAAGTGGCATGCGATGGAAATTCCGATATTCGAAGCAACGTTCGTCTTGCTCTGGCTCGGAATTGAGCTCGGCCGAGACCGAACGGTTTGATCCAATAGCCCCTGAGGGCGGCTCCCTCGCCGACAATGGCATTGTTGCCCGCGACACGCCTTTCCCATTATCTGTTTCCGGTAGAAATTTATTCCGGGGATATTCGAAATAAGAA